TGCTTACCCTGGCAAGCTGCGTGCCAGAAGTTGACGACCCTGGTTTAAAATATTGATTCCTTACAAGAAAATTTATGGAGACTTAAATAAATGGCACAGATTTTCCCCCAAAAGGGACAGGGAGAGTGAAACATTAAAAGTGAATGTAAGTCCTGGAGTACTGTATATTCAAAATTCTCTTTCTGTTCCCATTAATTTATTCTATTTCATTTAAATCTGTTCTTTAGGGTGGGAAAATGGGAAAGAAATCCTGTGGCAGAGCCAGAGTCAGAGTACTGAGAGTGTGTTCACTGAAGGCTCAGGTTTGAACACAGACAATCCTCACTAGAGTTTTAGGTTTACGTCAAGGGCTCTACTTTAACCAACATGATACAAACTTGGCAAAAAGTGTTTGGCTTCAATCTCAATTAATCCCCAGATGAAAGTGCCTCCCTCAGTTGATTAAGAATTAACCCTTAAGCCCCATGCCTGAACTGGGAGATAAGACATAGTCCCTGACCCAAAGAGCTTACAAATTACATCAGAAAAATATTGAAAATGAAGATAGTAAACACAGGGACAAGTGAAACAAACAACGAAATATTGTATTACAAATGAATCCAGAATGACGGCTAGTGAATGTCAATGGAGAAAAGTAAGTTGAAAATAATGAGTTTGGAGAACAGTAAAGACTCTTGGTCTCCTGGAAGAGGGATGTAATTCCAGCTATAGGGAGTACCATGAAAAAGTGGGAGGAGGAGCCAAGAGAACAACTAAGTTTGAAGAATGAGTAGGCTAGAGAGCATGTATTAGGGAGGACCAGTAAATGAGACGTCATCAATCTACCCATATCTTATGATGCAAAACACACTTAAGTCCACTACAGTGGGGGGGGGGGGGAATCAATATTTAATGGTTTTGTTTATTTTATTTTCAAGACTGAATTGATTTTATGGAGCAAAGTAGCTTTGAAATCAGTGAAAAAACTTTAATGTAAAGAGACTGGGTAGATTAGGGCATCTGTTTTCATTCATAGCTATTCCAGAACAAGATATTGCTACATTCTGAGGCAACACAAATTGCTTCTATCCAGATAGCACCAAAACTCTGATATACAATTAAAATGAATAAACTTTAATTTTTGAGGTGATGGATGAGTGTTCTAAATTTAAAGGATTTCCAGATGCACCCTCAATCTTAACTCTTCTCAAAGACTGATAGGAAGTGATAGAACAGCAGCAAAGTTGTTCTCAGCCAACATGAATATCATTTACAGACTACATGCTGGCACCTCTGGCTGATATTTGGGGGAAGAGATTTTGAGAGACAAAGGAATCTAGCTATTTTAGGTCAGATAGGCTAGACATTAAGTCTTTTTACAACAGATTGACTTAATCAAAATTGTTTATTTATATTGGACACTGAGCTTGCTCTCAGAGTGATTGAGGCTTGGCTCCTCTCAGTATTCTTCTCTAAATTCTCTAGGAATAACACGACCCATTTGTGGGTTTCTGAGAAGATACGTCTACTGATTAATCCTAATAGTTAATCCTTTTTAATCTACTAATTAATCCTTTTCTTAAGTCTTATCTTGTTAAACTAGAGTTGATATCATTTGGAAAACATATAATGTATTGGACTTCTACTACATAAGACAAAAAAGTCCATCATGCTCCCTTAATAGAAAAAGAGACCGCTATCATTAACATTAGAAGTCACCACAGTCTCAAGGGATTAGGAATTGGTTAATGGCTTTGGGGAACCAAACACTATAGAGATGAGCATTTAAAAAATTGCTAGAATGCAGAATTGGAAGATAGTGTTGTTTATTAAGGTGAATAAAGAATAGTTACTTAACTTACTGTAACTGTAGCTCTTCAAGATGTGTTGTCCAAATAGACTGTAGTCTTGGTGTAAGAACCTGCAAGGCTAGAACCTGAGGCCATGGGGTGTTCTAGGGTGTTGATGCCTCTTCTGCATCACCACTAGAGGTTTAGGCTGGGCTCCCCCGAGAGGACCCTGTAAGGCTAGGCTCAGCAGGAAGTATCATCCAGTAGGACACGAGCGGTGGCGCTTCACAGCCCACTGACTGGCCAGTACCAGTACTTAAATCAGGAAGTCATGACAGGGAACTGTCTGAGCAACACACAGATTGCCTGTCTGTATTTGCTCCAGGCCCTGCTTGTGACAGACCTGAGACTCTGGCTTCCAATCCTGGTTTGTCCTCAATTTTGCTCTTCAATTGCTGTCTGTAACCTGGCACCCAACCCCAATCTCCCGATAATCTGACACTGTTTGCCTTCTAACGGCTGAACCTCGGTCTGTCTTCTGGTCTATCTGAGACTCTGACCTCCCAATACCTGACTTGGCCTCCTCCTGCTTCAACCACTAGATCTGATCGCCCATGTCCCAGTCATGACAGTTTGCTCAGACCAACTTTGCCCCCTCCCAAAGCCATCCAACCCCTCCACAGAAAATGGAAGGGACAGGCTGCCCTCCAATCAATGGCTCCCCAAGGACCAAGTCACCCATCTGCAGGCAGAGAATCTTGCACTACAGACCCACATTACTCAGTGTGCACTCAAAGCACAGATCCTGCACGAGCAACTAGCCCAGTTGTAGGCTCAGGTGGCACAGCTCACCGCCAAAGCACGGATCCTACACAAGCAGCTCATCCACTCATATGGCGAAGTTGTGACACTATGTGCCTGCACAGACCACACATCACCCCCATGGTGTCATTGCTCGAACAGTTCGCTGGGCATCACTGAAAATTCCAGGGTTTTCCGAACCAATGAAGGCTGCTCTTCCTGCTCCTCCCCCAAGCATACCCCACAGACCAGACTAAGGGGGCGCTAGTAGTCAGTTTGCTCTCCAGTGAAGTGCTCAACTGGGTCTCCCCCATGCTGGAGCAGAACAGTGTAGTGCTCTCCAACTGGGATGCCTTCCTGCAAACCTTTGCAACCATGGTTGATGACATGTAATGTCTGCTCTGCAGAGGCTGCCCTCCAGAAACTTCACCAGAGGCATGGGGCAGCCAGCTCCTACGCCACCCATTTCCAACGGCTCGTGGCTGATGCTGAATGTACTGAGCAACCAGCTTTACCAGTTCTGGTGGAGGCTCAATGATGAGGTAAAACCATGGTATCTCCTCACATTTCCTGTTGCTACTGGGTTTGGGGCAGGCACAGCAGATCCCCCATCAACTAGCAATGACAGACTCTGGGGCTGCTGCCAACTTTATAGATGTTGAGTCAACCAAAACACTTCAGATCCCCATTCAGCCGAAACCCACACTGGACCTGGTGAAGATGATTGATGGGTCACCCCTATCATCAGGTTCCGTGACTCAAGAGACTATCCCCTTAAAGGTAGTAGTGGAAAAGCACTGAGAAATAATATGCTTGGATCTGTTCCACTTTCCATTCTTCCCAATTATTCTTGGGATTCCAAGCAGAGCGGCATGACCCATTTATCTCCTGGTGTTGGATGAGCACTAGCTTCTCTCCAAATACTGTCAGAAAGCATGCCTCCAATGAAGCAACCAATCCTCAAGTGACCTGCACTCAGGATGGTAGGAGGCCCTCAGAATCAGAATCCTGGATGGTGATGGCTAGCCAGATGGAAGTGACTTTAGGCCAGAACCTTAGCTTCCCTGACAAGTACCGCAACTACCCGAATGCGTGAGAGAAGGAGAATGCAGACTTACTACCCCCACGCAGAAACTATGACTGCCCAACAGATCTCCAACCCGGGACAAAGGTGCCTTATTAATGGATATACTCTGTGTCTGAACCAGAGCTGGAGGCGCTACATGGCTAAATGCGGGAAAACCTTGCCAAGGGCTTCATTCAGCAATCCACCTCTCCAGCGGGGACACCAGTCCTCTTTGTGAAGGAGGAGGATGGGTCACTACGCCTCTATGTAGACCAGAGGAGGCCAACCTGAGCGTGAGAAGGAGCCAGAATTTACCAATGTACATTGCCAAAGACCCACAGTAATATGTCAGCAGCCCCCACCCATCAGCTCCCCCACCCCGCTCCCATCGCCTCCCACCCACTGGCAGCCCCACTGATCAGCACCTCCCCGCACCTCCTGATCAGCTGTTTCGAGGTGTGCAGGAGGCTCTGGGGGGGGAGAAGGGGGAGGAGCGAGGGCACTGCAGGCTGAGGGGAGGAGGTGGGAAGGGGTGGAGTGGAGGCAGGGCCTGTGGCAGAGCCAGGGTTTGAGCAGTGAACATCCCCCAGCACATTGGAAAGCTGGCGCCTGTACCTCCAGGCCCAGAGTCGGTGCCTATATAAGGAGCCTCATATTAACTTCTGAAGAGGCGCATGTGGCTCCGGAGCCACAGGTTGGCCACCTCTGGTGTAGACTATCGTGCATTGAACCAAGTGACTATTTGAAACCGGTACCCCTTCCCCTCATTCCAGAACTGCTGGACCACCTGAGGACTGCCAGGATCGTCACAAAACTTGATCTTCAGAAGGTACACAATCTAGAGCACATACGGCCTGAGGATGAATGGAAGATTAATTTTCATACCTGATATGGGCACTTTGAATACTTGGTGATGCCGTTTGGCTTAACCAATGCCCCTGCAACATTTCAACATTTTGTAAATTATGTACAAAATGGACTAGATAGAGGGTTGCCACCCGTCCAGGTTTTACGCGGACTATCTGGTTTTTGGCTTCTGTGTTTGGGTCCCATAGGTTGTTTTTTTTCTGAGAGCTTGGAGCAGCACTACCACCATGTTCAGTCTGTCCTGGGGAGACTACAGAAGCATGGTTTGTATGCCAAACTGGAAAAGTCTACCTTCAACCAAGCCACCATGGAATTTTTGGGGTACATCATCTCCCCAGAGGGACTTCAGATGGATACACAAAAGTTGGAACCCCTCTGCAAGTAGACAGCACCTATCACCTTCCGGGAATTTCGGTGCTTCCTGGGCTTTGCAAATTTTTATAGGAGATTCATCACCAACTTCTCCCAACTAATAATTCCGCTGACTTCCCTCTGCAAAGCAGTGTGATTGACTTGGTCACCAAAGCCCAAATCACTTTTGACCAGTTAAAGGCTGCCTTACCCAAAGTCCTGATCCTGGCACACCTTGACCAGACTCTTCCTTTCAGAGTGGAAGCAGATACACCCAATATGGCCCTAGGGAGCAGTACTCTTGCAGCGACTTAGACCTCAGTCAGTCTTATGCATTCTGTTTTTGAAAAGTTACCCCTGCAGAGATGAACTACAAAATACTGGACAAACAGCTGCTTATTATAAAAACAGCATTTGAAGAATGGCATCACCACCTTAAGGGAGCTTGGCACTCAATACAGGTCTTCATTGACCATAAGAACCTCAAGTACCTTTACAAGGGCCAAGTGACAGAGACAGTTAAGATGGGCCCTGTTCTTTTCTCAGTTCGAGTTCATGATTACCTGCCACTTGGGAAAATGAAATGGGAAAGCCAATGCTTTATCTCAGAAGGAGGAATACTACAGGAGAAGCGAAGAACTGACTTCTGAGTCCCCCCTACCACCTCAAGCCTGGTAACTTTGCCAATGCCAGAGTTTATCAAGACCTGCTCTCCCTCATCTGATCCACCTTGAAAGAAGCCCCACTTGCCCAAGGGATATAGTCCATGCCATTCTGTGCTGGATGGAATAACATATTTTGAGCACATATATGAACCCCCAGGGTATCCCCAACTAGAGGTGCTATGGCTGTGTCAGGATGCTCCACTAGCAGGTTACTTTGGTTGGTGGAAGACCTCCAGCATGGTTGGCCATTTTCTCTGGTCGCCCTGCATGCGGGCTAAGGTCCAAGGATACATGGACTCCTGTGAGTGCTGTGCACATACCAAGACACCCCAAAACAGACCCCTTGGCACATTAGTATCCCTGGAGACTCCAAACAGGCACTCGTCTGCCAACAGCCTAGACTTTACTGTGGAACTCCCAGCATTTGATGGCTACACCGTAATCTTAACAGTTGTGGACCACCTGACCAAAAAGGCGCACTTCATCCCCTGCAACCAGCTACCCTCTGCCGAGACTACTGCCCAAATCCTGCTGCACAATGTGACCTGGCTCCATGGAATCCCAGACCACACAGTTTCTGAACAAGGCCCGTGGTTCAGCTCTCGTTTCTGGTGCAAAGCTTTCAGACTACCAGATAGCTGCAGATCTACCTCCACCACATACCACCCCCAGACAGATGGACAAACTGAATGGTTGAACCAGGTACTAGAGAACTATTTGAGATGCTTGGTAAATTATTATCAAGACAACTGTTCCATGCACTTGCCATATGCAGTTTTCTTACAACAATGCTGCTCATGCCTTCATGGCTCGGAGTCCCTTCTTCGCTAATTACAGGTTCCACACCTGTTTCACCTGGTGTTACCAGCAGCCTCCCCAAAGCCTGACACCACGGACTGGGTCCAACAGATTCATCGTATTTAGGAAAAGCTCAAGAACCGCCTAGAATAGGCAAAGAAGGCTACAAAAGGCATGCAGACAACCAAGTCAAGAAACTCCAGTATTTATGGTAGGCCAGAAGGTATGGCTTGCTGCCAAACACCTCCAGACCTGGCAACCATCCTGCAAATTGGACCACCAATTCCTAGGACCCTTCCCGATATGCCAGCAGATTAACCCACTTACCTTCGAACGCCAGCTTCCCCAGTCTCTCAAAATACACCCAGTTTTACATGTTTCCCTTCTGAAGCCATACATGGAGAACCCCTTCCCTGACTGAACCACACTGCCTGCTTCCACCAGTTGAAATACCCGGTCATGAGAAATATGAAATACAGCCCATCCTCGATTCCAGATGTACATGTGGCCACCTATACTATCTGGTGGACTGGGAAGGCATCAGCCCCGAAGAACACACTTGGGAGCCTTCCACATCCACATACCCCAAACTGGTGAAAGCATTCCACAATGCTCACCTGGACCAGTACCATCCCGAAGGGAGGTCTGAAGGAGGTGATGATGTAAGAACCTGCAGGGCTGGAACCTGGGACCCTGAGGTGTTCTGGGCTCCATCGCCACTACAGGCTTAAGCTGGTCTCCCAGAGGAGGGCCCTATGGGTCTGGGCTTGAAAGTACCACCCAGCCGGACCTGAGTGGTGGCCCCTCACAGCCCACTGACTGGCCAGTACCAGAACTTAAACCAGGCAGCCACGAAGGGGAGCTGTCTGAGCAGCAAAACAGACTGCATGCCTGTCTCTGCTCCAGTTCCTGATTGCAATAGACCCGAGACTCCGGCTTCTGACCCTGATTTGTCCTTGACTTTGATCTTCAATTGCTCTCTGTAACCTGCTGCCTGCCCCCAATCTCCTGGTAACCTGACCCCACCCACCTCCTGACTCTCAGTTTGCCCTCTGTCCTGTCTCAGACTCTTACCTCCCGATAGCCTGACTCTGCCAGCCTCCTGACACCTCAACCTCTGTCTGCCCTCTGGCCTATCTCAGTACCTGACTCAGCCTGACTCCCTACTCCTGTTCTGACCACTAGATCTAATCACCTTCGTCCCATTCATGACACTTGGTATGCAAGTACCCCATGCACACGAGATCAGATTCTTTAGACCAACAGGGTCCAACAGGGCTGCACCTATGTCCTAAATATCTCCGGGCCCCTCCCCATCACCCTCACATCCACACCCAAAAGCATAAAGAGTGGAGCGTGCCAGACCATCTCTTAGTTCTTTTGCCAGTATAGAATCCCAAAAAAGTAGGGCTCAGTAGAAGTGGAAAGGGAGGGCAGGTCATGGAATACATGTGGACAAAACATATCAAAGAACCATAGTTCTTGTAAGATAAGAAGTTGTTTTTTCTTCAAGTGATCATCCACATGAATTCCACTCTTGGCAACTAACAAGCAGTTATCTGTTTGCTTGGAGGTGGATAGCAGGAGTCTTAAACAATAACTACAGGATAGCCCTACCAAAGCAGGCATCTAGTCTGGAAGCCTCTACCAAAGAACAGTATTCTTGGAAATAATGTGTGGACAGAACTCCAAGTAGCTACCCTACAGATTTCAGAAATAGAGATATTTTTCAAACAGGCATCAGAGGTTGCCTGGACACTAGTGGAATAAGCGCCAATGTGTTTAGGTAGTTCTAACCTGGCTAACTCCTAACAAATCCCTATACAGTTGCAAACCCACTTAAATAATTTAAGAGAATATTGCTTGACCCATAACCCTCTCTGCATGTCCAGCAACAGTCTTGGTGTCCCTGAATGGTTTTGTCTTACCAATATAAAAAAAGACAGTGAGGCTGGGAGAAGAAAATGGTAGATCAATAAATTGATTTACATGGTTTACATTGATTTACACTTCAACTATCCGGATATATGTTGGGAAAATAACACAGCGGGGCACAGACTATCCAACTGTAACCCTTCTGCCCATCTAAGTTGGCAGCAACAAGGGCCGGGTTCTGT